ATATGAGTATATTGGTAGATTATCTGACAAAATTCTAACATGAGGAGAGAAAAGGAAAGAGGCAGGCCTGCCGGCGACGAGCTATCTAATGTGTGCGAAGGGTTTAAGCGAGGCTCAGTGACTGTCCATGCTCAGTGAATGTCTATGCTCCGTGACAGACACCAATATACTGACAATATCTACCAGGAAGCCACCAGTGAGCTTTCAATGTGATTTGATGGCTAAGAGAGTTATCTACCTATTCCAGTACATGTGCGTCTCATCAAGTCTTTCCTGAGTGGCATCGCTGTACCGCTTCTGTTGAAGCTGAGAGACATTCAAGCTCTCTGCTTGAGCCAAATAGTGTTCATGAGGCAGCTGGCCCTCATCATTGAAGATATCATCATCAGACATCAGCTTCATCTCCATCTTCATCATCTGAATCCTCACTATCAAGTTCTGGGTCACTGGTGGAGTCACTATCAGAGCTGTTGTCTGAAAAGATCTCAGTCAGGTTGGAGCTGCCAAGCTGGCATCAGTCTGATTCTCTTTGTCATCAGATCTGACCGGTTGGGAGCAAGGCGCCATGGTTGACACAGTCCGCAGGAAACTGGCAAACAAAAAGAAAGTCTGGAGTAGAAGATAAAGAAGGTGAGAGTGACAGCAGTTTTGTGGATAAAGACAGACCTCAAATGAATGAGAAGTGCTCCAAGAGATGCTCATGGGAGGAAGGATGGAAGCAGGGAAGGACACTGTCAGCACAGTGGGATTTATAAATTCAAGAAAACATGATGGTTGAGGGGTGTCACGGAGCATAGACATTCACTGAGCATGGACAGTCACTGAGCCTCGCTTAAACCCTTCACACACATTAGATAGCTCGTCGCCGGCAGGCCTGCCTCTTTCCTTTTCTCTCCTCATGTTAGAATTTTGTCAGATAATCTACCAATATACTCATATTGCTCGGGACCGTCACAAGGGGAGCCAAAACTGGCTACCCTTTGCAACCGCAGTGAGAGCGTCTTGATAGATGATGTTGAACAAAATAGCAACAAAAGTCCCATTTGAGACTAGCATCGAGGGGCATGAAATCTGTGGCCTGGCGTGGAGCCTGTGGCCGTGGGAATACGCTCACCTGATGCCAAGACGGGACTTGCACATCAGTAAATGGGGTGACCTATATTTATGTTCCCTTCTCTAAGAATAGGTTTTATATCCATTGGTGGTTGAGGTATTAAAGGTATAAATAATGCCATTTTATATGGAATATGGGGGCGCGCAGCTCGCTTGCCGGTTACATTACATATCACATGCTTGGCAGTAATTGTTAGTACCTGAAACGAATAAACCAATGTAGCGGTTAAAGTCCGTGTCGGGGAAGTCGGGGAGTCGATTATCCGGACTGCACAAGGCTATAGGCGAGGAATTTAAATTACACTAAAGAGGATGACATTGACATCTATAGACACCATAGACGATAGAATGAGTGCTTGGCTCTCTAAAGCATATGGCTAGTTACGGTATCCGTGTATGAGGAATCAGTCTCACGTCAGACCTACAGGGTACCCTTTGGAGAATCCATATACAATTAGTTCTTGTCTATACAAATCACACTGCTGTATGCAGGACCTATCGTAACAATAATTCAGCCGGGGATCCCTTCCCGTTGCAGTAGTACATGGCGGCTTACGGGCCATTTTCTTCTGTTGTTACTTTTTTCAGTCTTCCTGCAACTCCGCCGCAGGAGATCACTACCAATTAAGCAAGTGCTGACCTTGGTCGGCGATGTTTGGTACTTTGGCATCTTGTAGATGTGGGTGCGAGGCCAATGAGAGAAACTGTGCTCACCAACATGTCTAGGATGCAGGAGGCTCCCCTGAGTTGATTTCGAGGCAATGCGAGGTTATCCCCCGTAATCCTTGAGGACAATATCCATTGCCCTGTGCCAGACTGTCTATAAAAGGGAGCATCGTGCTCGAGGAAACAAGAAACAGCACCAGCTCAGAACAAGACATTCTTCTTCACTCAAAAATTCATCAGCTGAGCAATATGAAGTTCTCTACTACTTTTCTCTACACCTTCCTCGCCGTTACCACCCTGGGTGCCGCGAATCCCACTGGCAGCAACGAAATTGCCGCTGAGAATGTCACCCCCGTGAGTGACGCGGTCCCAAATCTATTAGAGAAGCGCAAGGGCTGCAGCGGTGACAGGAAGGATACCGACGTGTGTGGCGGAAAAAAACTCGCGACGCAGAACTCCTTCCACAACTGGTAAGTTATACTAGGCTTCAGAGGGACTGGGAATAATTTGCTAATGGTCGTTGGAAAGCTCGGGCAAGACGAAGGGCAAATGCTGCGCCAAGAACAGCGATGGCTCGGGAGGCATCGACGTGAACAAGGGTGGTGGTGAGAAGTGTGGCTACTGCTTCAGTGGTACTTGCTCTGGTTAAGTGGTCTCAGTATGAGCGCTATTTGTATGGAATGGGGAGGGGCGGAAATATCTAGTGTTTTTATTGAGAAGATATGTAGGGTTGTCCTGTGCAGTTGACGGTAGATAGCCGACATTCATGTCTACCATTCTTACCATATGTGTCCTCATGGTGCTTTCAGGCGTCACAACCCTTTCCAGTAACATGGTATATGCTCATACTCGGGTTCCTACGCCAATGAAGTGTTTAGTAGCTTCAGTGAATCTTGTCCATGTACAAGGCTCGTCAGGTGCGCCCTTAGTATCACATCAACCAACTATATACAGCGAATAACACCACCTATGTATCATGTTCTTGAGTCATGTTGATTTAAAGTGCCCAGACAGTATTTGCTTTGGTTGATAGTAGAACATCTGAATTGAAAAAAGTGTGTAAGTGTCTTATTATCTAGTTACATATGCTTGGAGGTACTATGAGTTGTATTCATTTCCGGTCTCCTCTTTGAAAGCTGCCACCACCTCCTTAGAAAACTCGTCACGATCATGCAGATATAATTCTTCCAGTTTTGGCGCATGCTCCAAGATTAAACGCGCCAGTGTCCCAGCTCTTGTCGACAAGGATGATGACCTAAAATTTGCCAATCTTGTCAGCATATAATAATCGTATACAAGTCATTGAAATAAGCTTACAGTGATCCTTGTTCTCCATCTATTGTTGCACTGAGTTCAAGCCGCTGTAATTGTGGAAAGAGGGGTCTTGCAACGCTTTGCCAGCCGTGCAAGTCGTACAAGCCAAGTATTTCACAAATCATGAGTTGAGGACAACGCTCTCCTAGAGAAGTAATTGCTGCAGTTGACAAGACACACTGAACTTGGAAGACCAGCTCCTGAAGTTCACTCATGTTCTCAAACACCGGGATAAACTCCTCGTCTGTCAACGTCGGGGACGCGATGGTATCAAAGATTGGAGAGATATTTAATCTGCGTAAATTCTTCAAGCTTTTGAGTGCGAGGAAGTCGGTGCCGGTCCACTCTCCTTGCTCCATATAGCCAATATGAAGTTCTTGAAGGTTTACCAGCGAGCTGACTTGTGGCAAAGGGTTGGTCCGGCTGTCTTCAATTGTGAGTGTAAGACCAATAACAGATTTGACCCCTGCCACCAGCAGTGGTACAGTTTTCGACTCGATTTGAACCGCAAGATACCGGATATCTTTGAAAGGCCGCTCAGTCCCTTCAAAGACCTCGTCAAGCATCTTATACCTGAGAAACGTTCCCAACTCCAACTCCTCGAGGCCATCATGACGGGCGAGATATGCAAGCAGCCGGTTGTCGATGGTATCTTTTATGTTACTTGGAAGACATATCGACGTCAAATATTTGCAGCTGTCAAAGAACTTTATCAAACGGCTGGAGGTTAACCCCTCAAACTGAAAGTCAATCACAATACTCTCCAGTCGTGGACAACGCATTTCTAGTAGGTGAAGTATGTCTTCAGCCGGCTCGGCGCCATAGAAGCTGAAATCTTCCATACTCGGCTGTATGTATTGGCCAAGCCACAATTTCTCCCCATTGTCTGGGCGAAAGTAGTCGATTGTGATACGTCTCAGCCGAGGGAATTCTAGGTTGCGAAAGTTTGAGTGTTCGGCTCCGTCCTCATCACCGCCAAAAATTAGCTCGCGGACCTGACGCGCGTAGAATTGGCGATGGTCCTTTCCAATCGCCGCCAAGGCTGCCACCGGCGGCTTCTCCCACAGGACCCTGATGGCTTCCGCAGCCCAGGCCTTATTCACCAAGAGTGCCGACCGCAGAGTTGTGGCATCGTACCTGAGGTACTCCATCACTCTGCTTAGGATCTCTGGTAGCAGTGTATTCCTCTCCATGACGGCTGATAAAGTAGGGGATGTTAAATCGCGAAATGGGATTGATCGAGTTAGTGTGCAGCAAAAAGCCCCTTGAGTCAAGATTCAGGCTCGTGGTCCATGAACTACTCGGGGAATAATTCGATGAGTGAATAATACGAAATATCAAATATGCACACAGAGAGATGGTGGGCAAGTGGACGTCAGCAAACGGATCATCCAGGGCAAAGTGGGGGTATGACATGGTCAGCTGACCGGATACCTTACATGTCGATCGCTGTTGGGCGCAGACGCCGTCAGATCAGATCAATTCTGCAACTATAATTACAGGACCCAAACGAGAGCGGGCATGACCGCAGCCTCCAGGGATGTCACGCTCAAGACAGGGATCTGTGGCTCGCCGTGAGATCACGCGTATTTCGGCGGAACCGCTTAATTTCTCTAAAATCTCTAGTTACTCTTAAGGCTCTTGTGCGGGGAGAAATGTACTTAACTAACTAGTTATTCCCTATAAGCGCTGGGTTTGTAATGTTTGCGACTACGCCCCGGTTCACCGCTGCATTTTTTATATCGACTTTTTATATATATTTCGGCTTCATACATCACGCATGTCGCATACATACAGTCAATTTCTAGTTTTTAGTGAATAACTCCCCAACAAGGGGGTCTATGGGACTTATATTTTGAATATAAATAGATTTATATATGTTCTTAAATATATTTTGGATATTTCGATGCTTTGCTGCTTACTAAGCCAAATGGATGACTGCGGATTAATCCGAATCCGCAGCGGACTATCTAAAATGTGCGTACACGTTGGCCTATATCATCGGGCCGGTGGAACTTGCCTAATCGGTTCGACGTTATTCCTTATCAAGACTAGCTCAGAAGTCTACATGCAGCCCATGGCCGCGAAAAGCCCGAGGAATTTACTACTACTATGTTGTTCTTCTGCCTAAGCATCCTGCATTTCAATCGTAGCCTAATATCCAATGATGCCAGTTCCCAGGCTGAATAGAAGTGCTACCAGGTCTAGAAGCCCTAGCAGCTGCGCAATCTCTTTCTCCTGGACTGGCAATCTGGTCAGATGGATCAAGATTGGAGAATGGCAGGTGCGGAGCAGGACTCGCATGGCAAGAACCAGGAGGATCTTGGAAGACCCAGGGGTTCCCATTGAGCAAGGGACATGAGGTCTTTGATGCAAAGCTTCTTGGAGTTGTTCAAGCACTCCAGGTTAGCATGGAAGGCAGGAGATCAGAGACCGGTCACTATCCTGCTGGACTCCCAAGCCGCCATTGCGAGGCTGCGACATACCCAGCCAGGGCCAGGTCAAGAATTAGCAATCCAAGCACATGCTATAGCCAAGAGATTACACACCCAAGGTCGTCAACCCACCATCCAATGGGTCCCGGGACACGCAGGGGTAGAAGGAAATGAGAGAGCTGACCAGGCAGCTAGTAAGCCTCCAGGAAGGGTCCCAAAATAGATCTCCCTGGTCTTTGCCTGTAGAGCTTGGACAGAAGCCGTTGCAACACAGAAGCAGAGATGGCTCACTAAGGAGCTCGGCCAGCGATCCCAACAAGGTCAACGACTATACAGGCTGCAGAAGAACTGGTTACTCGACCCTACAGCTGCAGTAGCCCCCAAGCACTTGGCAAGCCGCTATTTTCAACTGAAGTCAGGACATGCAGCCATTGGAGCACACCTACATCGGATCCAGGCCCAAGAGGATGCAACCTGCAAAGGTTGTGGCTTATCAAGGGAGACAATACACCATCTTCTCTTTGAATGCCGGAAATGGCGACACCAACGAAACAAGCTCTACAGAGATCTGGAGATGGATGGGGTTATGAGACCCACTGCTGCAGAGGAGCACCCGCAAGGACGACTTTTAGAGAGCCCAGAGCTGCCAGGGCGCTGATACAATTCCTAGCCAGTACCAGTGTAGCTCTACCCCGGGCGCACCTACAGCGGACGGCAGAAAGTGTCACGGGCTCGGAATAGTAGATACTAACGAATCGAATTCCTATCTAAACTATTGTAGCTATCGACGAGAATACCGAATCTGCGAAGAAGAAAAGAAAAGGAAATCTGTCCATGGAAAGGAGGGGTTTTATAGGCGTTCGCTTGACATCACCAATGCCTTGTCTGGTGTGTTGATGTCGTTTGTCTGTATCAGTTGTTGACGCAGCGTTGAGCCGTCGATGCGGCGTTGATACGGTGTTGTGTTGTGCCGTCACAGAAAGGACCCGGAGAGATGAAGAATGGGGACTGGAAGCATTGGAGGAGGCAATTAGAACAGGAGAAGGGTAGCAGGGAGGGTAGCCTAAGCTGAGAGTCAGCCTAGGCCACACCCATCTTGCTCCGAAACACAAGGAGAGCACTCTGCTCGAAAGCCCTGCGCATATAGGCGGCTTGGGGCGAGGAAAAGGATCAGAAAGATTATAGAAGGGGGTGCTACCTCGGGAACTCATAGGGACAAGAGGCCGAAAGTTAGCTACTAGCCTCGAGTTCATGGAATATGGTCTGTCATAGCTTTGGGGCTCGATATGGACAATAAACTTGATTAAATAATAATAATAATATCCAATGATTCTGCCTTGACTCTCCGCATCGTCACATGAGTCTGATACGGTAAGGTCTGTAACATTATGTTCCTGGGAGCTTTGAGCATGGTCCTAGACCTTGACACAGCCCTGGGCGGCCAGGTCATCAGACTCGTCCCCAGGTCTTTTAAGGATTTCGATGCTTGCTCAGCGGTTTAAGAGGACTTCTATTAGTTTATAAGAATCACTTATTCTTTTTGATGGTGAAAATGAAAAATTAAAGCAGACAAATGCTGATACTAGCATTTTAATAGCAAAATTAAGAAAGAATAACGTTATTTTTAATGTTAGTATATTTAGCCAAATTGAGACAATGTAGACCTTTGGCGTCAAAATATATTTTCTTGAAGAACCAGGATCTTTCAGTCTTTCAGCTGAATAACCCACCACCAATATCCTACAGCTTCAAAACAAGCAAGCAATCCGCATAATTAGACCATGAAAAGTCCGAATACACTTGTATTTCATCGAATTTCATGTAGGCGACGGCCAAAGATCAAGATTCAGTGTCGTCATGACCGTTACAGGCGTAAATAACAGGTATTTTATTCGCTGAATCATCGAGTTATGCATCCTAATTGGGAGAATTATGTACGAAATGGGAGGAAGCGGGCCGCCCAGGGCCGCCCGCTAAGGCCCAGCGAGCGGGCTGCAGGCTCCCTTGCCCTGCCCGCGGGCTACGGGCGGCTTCTAGGTGCCCACGGGCGGGCTGTGTCAAGGTCTACATGGTCCTTGGGACCCAGATCGTTCCCAGAAGCGGACTGGAACTTCACCCAAGCTTGATCTCGATAATTTGACAGGAGACAAAGACATGGCCACGATTGACCGTCAGATCGATGATGTCGGCGCTTTGACGAGGGGTCGCTACTCTCTAGCTTCCTGTGGCTGAGGAGCAGGAAATGTGGGGCAACTCTTTAGGTTCAGATCTTTGAGTACATTATAGAAACTCAGTCCTCGCTTCTTGAGATTCAAGTTTGTTCTCACTCGGGTAAATATACAATTAGTTGATGGCTGACAACCAATCAGGCCCAGCTATAATGGGTACTGGTTCACAACTTGCGGTCAATGGTGCTTCTCTCTTCTATCAAACGATTGATACTGGGCCCCTTTAGTCCTGACACCAAGGGAGCAACGACACGGCTGTATTATACGAATCTTTGGTGTACGCTCTGTCTTCTCTTTTCCGGGTCATCATCTATGATCATCGTGGTTTCTACCAAAGTCCTGTCTGCTGTTATGACACAACACCAACTATCAACACCACCGTGAAAACACATGCCAAAGATGTAGTTGCTCTAATCGCCCATATTTTCCCACAAGAGCTAATTTCGCTCTTCACATGCTTTGGGAGTGCAGTTTTTACAGCGGAGTTTCTTGCCAAGCCTCTTTCTTTTCTTTTCCTTTTGGAGACTACATTAAGGGGTTATCGTTTTCAGACAGGGTAAATGACTGGACACTCTCAAGGTCTTGGGCGCGGATGATGTTGACATCTCGGAAATTGTTGGTGAAGACAATATGGTAAAGGCGGTCGTAGTCTAGAAGATCTGCTATTAGACTAGATCCAGATCACAACTGAGGAGATGATAGGTACCTACCGGGGTGGGCTTTCTTTGGTGTCGAGATGGTGAAATCCAAAACCACGTGCTCCTTCATGACATTGGACATGATCAATCCATGGTACTTCCCCCCGGGCTCGAACCGCTCCATGTGCTCCCGGATTTTGCTACGATTCCTGGTGAGCTCAAAACCCCATCCTTTCGCGGGAACCAGGAAGTCAATTGCCCCGCCCCTTTTCCGTCTTTTGGCTATATATCCAGGAGAGACCAAGACATTTCCGTCCACGACTGAATAGAAAGCTCGGTAAAACTCTTTTTGAAATTGATCTTCCAAAGGCAATTTTTGCCCTGTCTGAGCCCTTGGCGGATCTGCGAGGTTTCGTGGAATGAAAGCTCGAATCGAGGTCATGGCAAGCTCAAGTGGAGACGCGCAGCGGATTTCGTTTGAAGCAGACTCTTCGTACAGCATATACGCGCAGAACCTGAGTTGAGACCTTTTAGTGATAGATAGGAAGCAAGCAAGCCAGGGCGTGCACTCACCACCGGTGCATGCAACTTGGGAACGTGTAATACGTGACTTTCCTTATTCTTTCAGCATTCAGCCAGCCGTTCCTCCAAATTCTTTCAAGTGTCGGGCGCAGATCCTGCTCAAAGGAATTCTCTCGGACCATTTCAGAAGCGACGGCCTTCTTAAATACCTTGGCAACCTTGGTGTCTTGTAAGATGTTGTCCACCGGCATTCCCCTGCAGAAGGGAGTATTTCGCAGGAGCCTGAGTAACTTCTCTGGGTGGATCAGAAGTCTGTCTTGGACAGCATTCAATTCCAACATCTCATCCTGGCGCCTGTGATAGTCGAGGTCCTAAGCATTGTTTAGTAACGCAAAGTTATTGGGATGTGTGAAAGACTTACCGGGTCTCGATCCAGTGTTCCCATCAGAGCTGCAAGGCAGCCGGCATGTCCTTCGCTTATTATATACAAGTATAACATCAGTTCCTCGGACAAAGGTAAGCCGACGCCATTTACATATTTATGCATCATATCAAACGCCTCGTGCTGGCTCAACAAAAGATGGAGACCGTGTGAAATGCCGGTGGCTTGATTCTCTTCAATTCGCATAGATACGGTTTGTTGTTCTCCGAAGTATGGGGGGGTCTGGAAGTATTTATCAGAGTCGAAACCAGCGTTCCCGCGGCCTGGGGATCCATATGACGAGAAAAAGATGATGCGCGGAGATTCTGATATCGGCGAAAACGGGTTAACCTCTTTAATGAGCCCAGACCAAAGGTCTTCATCCCAGAAGGACTGTTGACATTCATCGAATAATAAAAAAGCAGGTGTTGTCGGCCACATCTCCCCTCGGATTCCGGTGCATTTCTTGAGATGATTGTCCCAGCCATTATTCTCCAGTACCCTCTCTCTCTTCCAGCCATTCAACACATATACGGGCATCTTTGGGCGCGTTGCAAGAAGGACATTGACAACTAATCTGCGAATGGTTGTTTTTCCACATGCCGGGGTACCGCGGACTAGAACCAGACGATACTCTTCAGCTAGTGAAATCAAGCCGTGGACCAACTCATCACGATGAGAAACGATGGAGGGAATTCATATTGGTACGGTCAGCGGAAAACACACATATCCTAAATGCTAAGTTTCTTACGGTAGGGTTCTTGCACAATGGCGGGAGGGCAGGCAAGTTGAATATCGGCATCCGGAGCGGCAGTTGGTCTAGTGTCTTCTGAAAGCTTTTGTCAGTTCTTAATGCAAAAATGGATACATTGGAACGCACTCACCATATTCTTCATGGAGTTCCATAAAGTGATCACAGCCGTCACATCGGCTTTTAGCCAAAGAGTCATCTGACAAGATGGTAACCAATGTACACTTTCCAGATGTGCACGGACATTCAAGCCCATTTTTAAACCGGTATTTGCAGCGCCCCAGAGTGATGTGAGACCTACGTTTAATAGGCTCTACTTGAGAATGTCGGCTTGTCATCGTGTACTCTGTAGGATACGGAGGTTAATTTTTTTGGCGGCTCTTCCACAATATAAAAATGGAAGACGAGAATAGCGGAAGGAAACGCCAGCAACAACTGCAGGAGGGGCGAAGACAACTAACCCTAGGAGAGGGAAGTGGGGAAGAGAACAGACTCAAATGCGGATCTTCAGGTACCCCCAGGAATTCGCCAAGACCGCCACATAGGAAGCGGAATAACAGTCGGACCGAGAGCAGCGAGGTACCAGTGTGTTTACGCTGATTAGAATAGACTACAGCACCTTACCGACATGTATGATAGTCAAGAACAAGAATATACACACTCTCTCATTCGATTGATTGATTTATCTACTATTCCTTATTCGTCTGTCATCTGTCAACTCATGCGGTGACTTTGCGGTCTTCGACCGATGTTTGACTCCCCATATTGATTTTCACCTAACCCTTCTTCAGCACATTGTACTAACAGCACGGCGTGGGTGATTATCGGTCAAATGAACGCTGCAGCTGCCTTCTTAGTCAGGAACTGCGAGATGGTGGTCTAACCCCAGCAGCAAGGATTTGGTACGACACGTTGATTGCTTGCAACATTTTGGAATCAAAGTCTGCGCATGACACCTGTCTATTCATCTATCAAGAAAGTCGTCACATGTATATGACTAGCCATATCGACGATATATAAGATAGTGACTGCAAGCCCCGCAAATACAAGATTGTCTGGATAGCGTATCAGCGGGACTCGAAATGAAAGACGTCAGTCATAACTACGGTTTACTATCTTGGCATAGAAGACATATTCGACAAGGGTGGGTGGCATACGCCTTGGTTAAGAGGAATATGTCAAGGACTTTATTGATTTATTCAATATGGAGAACGCCTACTCTCATGACAGTCGGCCAAGGTGATCTTAGGATATCGTGTGGCGTTCTTGTCCAGGGCTTCTAGGATTGTTACATTGTCTCCTCTAGTGAATATGCATTATCCAGCAAGTTATTAATGTCTTGGGGCAGTTCCAGCACATTGTAAGTGGTCTTATCAGCAAACCTGACTCTTCTGGTTCGAGCAGGTGTTCTGGGTATGCTCTTGGCAGGGTTCTCGGGCAGGACGAGCTTGAGATCTGGTTATGATATTCAGTGTGACAGGTGAATTCTCAGACAGGAGCTCAAGGTTCTCTTTTCTTCAGGACAGTCTGGCTTTAATACAGCAGGTGCTCATCCCCCTCCTTAGGAAGATCCTCCGGCCTCCTGGTCAGGGCATCAGACTTCGCTCCTTGTTTGCCCGAACAATAAACAATATTGAAGTTGAAGTGGGACAGAAACTCAGACTAATGGGCCTGTCGGCGGTTCAGAAGCTAAGTTGTGATGAAGTATTCCAGGTTCTGATGGTCAGTGATAACTTTGATGGGAGATGGGGTCCCTTCCAGCTCAGGGCGCCATTCTTCAAAGTGTGACGGCCTGGTCACATTGGCTGGCTATTACATGAAGCGGAGTTGTTTGCTTTTTGATGATTGCAGCGATACCTCTTTCTTCCTTTCTCATGTCAATTATTCTTGTCGATAGCTACTTAGATAGAATCCATGAGTTGGATGTTCCATTATCCTAGCTGAGCTCGTGACAATGATCTTGATCCAATCAGTGATAATGAGCAGGGTGATTCAGTGTCTATTCAAGATCAGCTGCAACTTAACTCGAACAAAAGGCAAAGTAATACCACAGCTGCTACATCTGAGATTGAGATTGATCTTCCCTTACCTACCACCTTACACGAAGAAGAAAATATTCAGCAGCATATGTCCGGAAGGGCTTGGAAGCGTTCAAGACTTCTAGATGGATATGAACTAAGCACTGTTGAACTGGGTCCCGGATAATGGCAATTGGGTGGTAAACTACCAGGCAAATGAGGATAATGTTGTAACTGCTATTTTCTTTGTTTGAGATACCCATTTTGTTAGCGAGTAAATAATTCTGAATGACGGCTTATCATTGGCTAAAAAAGCATGAGATCAAAGCGTTCAAGTTAGGAAGAAAATGGCGCTAAATGAGTGTCTTTCTATGCCTATCTAACATACGTAGTTGGAGACGTCCGCCAGTGCAGACTGCAGAGGTTTGGTGGTCATGTGATAGCTTAATTCGACGTGGATTCCATTAGGGGTGTAGCAGCAGTAATTCCCTTCATAAATATAACTCCTTTTCATTTAAATAATGGATATATCTGGGCTTGCAGCCTAGCTTTGTATTATATATGAACCAACTGTTACTGTTTTTTATTCCTCTCATCCATTGACATTCTCAAACGAGAAGCAATGCCATCCCCAACCCCAAACATGCATACCACAAAGTCATCATCCGCTTCCAAGAACGCAAAGCGAGCAAGAAGAATTATTACATCCCTCGATGCGTCTGTGGCTCCAAGCACTTCTACCGCAGATGCCTGCACATTGTCGATACTTTACGACCTGCTAATTGGAAACCCAACCGTCTCATTGGAGCGTGGGTGAACCAGAAGTGCCAATATCCTAAGACGTTGGAAAAGCTCAACAAAATTAGGAAAGGTGTGGGCTTGCCGGCGTGGTCTGCGCAGGGTGGTAGTGTTACTAATGAGAGCACTACTGCTACCACCACCAATGATAGTGGCATGGCTGCTGCCAGTCCTAAATTACAGCTCGAACCTGAGCTCAATCCTGTTGAGAAACTTGCAGATGCTTACTTTGACGTAAGCGATGCTGAATCCGAAGACACGGTTATAGTCAAGCCACAGCCTTTGAAGACACTTGCGGATACGTTCCTTGGCTCTCAAGGCAATGCTAAACCTGAAGACAAGCTTCCTGCTAAGCCAGACCCTGTTGGGAAGACTTCCGTTGGCTCCAGTGGTACTAGTACTACCACCACGAACACCAAAGAGAGCCAAAAACCCAATGCAGAGGGTGGAAAGGCCACTGGATCCAAAGACACGGTCTCCCTTGACTTCAGTCCTTTTGCGTCGCTTACAAGGCTCGGCAAGCATAATCCCAACCATACTACTACTACAAAGAGTCAAGCAACGTCCAATGCTGGTTCTAAAGCTACGGTTAACCCTCAGTCCTACCTCGTTAAGTCATTGGGCCCTAGCTTCGGTGCTACTTTTACTAGTACTGCTGCTGCTAAAAACACCGGAAAGAGCCAAGAAACATCCGGTAAAAATGCTGCTACATCTCAAAGAAATGCCGGAACTAATAACAAGGGCTCCACTGATCCTAACCTTCTTATGAAAATGGGAGGTCCCTTCATCTTCAGCATCACAGGTAGTAATACTACTACCATCAACACCAACATCAAACCCACAGTCCCCAAAGAGTCCACGAACCCATTCGACCACATCGCATCCAAAGCGGCAGACGAGTGGGCATACAGAAAGACACAAGGCAAGACAAACCGTCAAATCGACGAACTGATGACCTACCAAGGGCTGTGGAACGTCAAGCAGCAGTTTCTGGCCATCAAGTCCCATGTTGATGTCTGCCTGAAGCAACGACAGGATCCGAAGAAAGACCGGTATAGCATCGTTTTTCAAGGGAACCTGGGAACTGGTGAGTTTTTCTCCCTGCAATATCTAATTCTCAGCTAACTAGTGATGATAGGAAAAATGACCGTTGCACACTTGTACGCACGTTTCTTATACTCAATCGGAGCCCTCAACTCAAGACTACATGAAAGAGATCTCCGGAGCCAAACTCGCCTCCAAGGACTCCGCAGAACACAAGAAGAAAATCAAGCGCAGGTTCTTCCAGGATTATGCTAGCCCTCCCTACCGCGTCGCTGGTGGTGTGCTCTTCATCGACGAGGCGTACCAGCTCGTTTCCGCGCACGCAAGTGTACAAGGGAAACGGATCCTCGACCTGATTCTCACAGCCATGGAAGACGCCGTGGGTAAGATGGCAGTCATCTTCGTCGAATATAAAGATGAGATGGAGTAATTCTTCGAGCATAACCCAGGTCTCTCCAGCCGGATTCCGTGGGTCATTGACTTGGAAACTTCAACGAGGCTGAGCTGTGGAATATCCTGTACAGTTGTATAAGAGGCAGTATGGTAGGAATATGAGAGTTGAGGGTGGGTTCGATGGATTGCCCATGCAGATTGCTATTCGACGGCTTGCAGAGACATCTGATGGGAGAGTTTTTGGAAATGCAAGGGCAGTCAATAATATTCTCATGCAGATCGCGCGACGCCAAAGTTAGCGGTTGATTTAGGAGAAGAGAGAGCGCCCTATTGAGACCTTGGACTATCTCTTCCCTACTAAAGAAGACATTCTTGGACCTGACCTGTCAGAAGCAGCCAGTACAATCTCTGCATGGGCAGAACTAACTAAAGAAACTCATTGGCCTTGTCGATGTCAAGAAACGCGTGGAGAGCATGATCCATATGCTACAAAGAAACTACCAGCGAGAACTAAACGGGATCAAACCATGGCGTGTCCCGCTCAACCAGCTTTTCATGGGACAGCCAGGAACTGGTAAAACGACAGTAGCCACGCTTTATGGCAAGATTCTTGCAGATATGGGTCTCCTCAGTGGCGGTGACGTGGTGTTGAAAACCCCATCGGATTTCCTCGGCGATGCCGTGAGCATGTCAGAGAAACAGACGCAAAAGACCCTCGACGCAACAGTCGGCAAGGTTCTGGTGATCGATATGTTCCACAACGCGAACTCAGGTCTAACCCGGCGGTTCAACATGAAATGGATGTTCAAGTTCGAAAACTACAACCTGTCTGAACTCGATCAAATCATGACTCTGAAAATGTCACAGCAGAACCTCACATGCACCCCCGATGGAAGAAAAGTAGCCCATGACATCTTCAAACGAGCCCTCCAGCGCCCCAAATTCGAAGACGCAAGTGAAGTAGAAAGCTGTCTAGCCGATGCAAAGCCGAACTTCGAAAACCGCCAACTGACACAGACATCCAAGACGGACGTCCGCGACGAGAAACTCGAAGCCAACGACTTCGACAAGGACCTGCAACGCAGCCAAGTCAACTGCCGCGAGCTGCTAGCAGGTAAAGTGTCACGCAGCATCGTCGACAAGTTCGCCAGCTACCAGACTCGCTGCCACGCAGCCAAGCAGCGCGGCTATAACCCACGAGACTTTGTCCCCACCCGGTACATCTTTAAGGGCTTCCCGGGAACGGGCAAGATGATCACTGCCAAGCACATGGGGCAGTTCTTCTATAATATGGGGTTCCTTGCCACGAGCGACGTCGTACAGTATTCGACTACCAATCTTATCAGTGAATATGTGGGACATACATCATCCAAGACCAGAAAGGTACTGCACAGGGCTCTTGGAAAGGTTCTTTTTCTCAGTGGTGTCTCTCGTCTCAATAAAGAGGGCACGTTCCCAGCCGAGGCAATCAATGAACTCGTCCATTTCCTCTCCTAGCCAGGGAAGGGCGAGAAGATCGTGTTATCCTCGCCGGCGACGTCACAGGCGTCGACACACTAATATCCAAACGGGCAGATTTGTCAGGACTTTTCCGCGACGAGGTCATGTTCAACCACTTGTTGCCAGACGAATGCATTTCCCTGCTCACACGCAAACTCGAAGAAAAAGACGTACACATCAACTCAGACCTCGCCCACAATACAGATATCAAAACCCTCTTCCAGAAAATGAAAAAACTCCCCGATTGGAGAAACGCGCATGATGTCGAGTACCTAGCCAAAGAAATCTTCGGTAAATGTCTCGATAATATCGATTTGACCTCTCCAGAGCAGCAACCCTTGGAAGTCACCGCTTCCTTGGTCACGTCGTGTATGCGGGATACTTTCGAGCATAGGAGTCGTCGAAGCAACAACACCACCACCAACAACAAATCACCATCAACAGACCCGATGTTCGAGGACCTGTTTTCCCATTTGTACTCCCTAAACCCAGCCACCCGGAAACCCCCTCCCACACCATCCTCGAGCCCCAATCCAGCAGAGGAACCTGAGAAGGAGTAGGAGCAGAAGCAGGAACAAACCCTGCACAGCCACTCCTACAACACAGCAACCGCCTACAAAGAGAAACAGCAAAACGACTCCTCTGATGATGACTCCTCTGATGATTCCTCCTCCGATGACTTTGACACCGACTCCGAAGACACCCCCCGCGACCCCAACATCCCGAACTCAACCTGGACCTCCCTGCAAGCCTTCAAAGCTACCGCAAGACAACAAGCAGCCCACCGCGCACGCCCAACTCACCGACATAAACTACAAACTCTCAGCCGTGGCAAATAACCAGCTCTAGCGGGGGAATATGACACGCTCGTTGCTGCGCGCGGAGGAGAGGAGGGAGGGGGGAGGAGAGAGGAGAAGATTCAGAATGCTTTGAGGAAGATGAGGAAGTGCGTGGCAGGGTATGAGTGGACTAAGGTTGAAGGGGGTTATCTGTGTGCGGGTGGGAGTCATTTTGTTGATGATGGTGAGGTTAAGAATTATTTGTTTGCTTAGGTGTGGTGTGGTGGTTAGGGTTTTTGGTTTGTTTTGCTTGCTGCTTGGAGTAATAGACTGTGATGACTACGGTATGAAGAACAAATATTAAGAAAGAATCAATTCCAATCTACCTAAGAAAAGAAAAGTATAAAGAGTGTCCAAAAACAAACACAAGGAGAGCTCAGTCGACCGGCTCCTCCTCAAGCAACGCCTTAAAACTAAACGGCACAAACGGAATGCCCTCACCATGGAAATGCTTACTCATAGCCTCAACCCAGTGCAAACGCAGCGAGTGCAACATCGCACTGGTTCCCTCCATAACACACAGAATGGCAATCGTCAGCGTAAACCACATAAAGAACGTAACCACGATCATAATGATTCTCGTCGTGGGGTCTTCCTGCTCGAACGCGCCGCCGATGGTCATGTCCCAGAGGACGATGGAGAGTTGCTGATGTGCGAGGGACAGGGCCCAGAGACGCAGGTAGGAAGCTGTGTGGGAGATGCAGTTTAGGCAGAATTCGATGGTGTGGATGACTTGGTGGATCATGACTTCGGAGAAGTCGAATTCTTCGTGTTCCTCGTCGTCGGCGTCGAGGTCCTGCGCGATCATGGCGGTGCCTTCGTTGGTGCCGTCGCCTTCGCTGGCCATGCTGTCGCGACCATTGTCGTCTTCTAGCGCGCTGACGCGGGCGGGTTCACTGAGGCCGCGGTACCCTTGGGCACGCGCCCGTTCGTTCTCACGGCGGAGGTAGAAGGGCTTGAAGAAGAGCATGAGGGGCACTTGGATGAGAGCAAGCAGCAGCAGGGAGAGTTGTACGCCGGACTGGCCTGGGTACAGCGGCTCCTCAACCGTGCCGGGGGACAGGAACATGAAGATCAACATGTTCAGCAAACCAGGAGGCGACTGCCCCTTAGCCGCCCAGTCAACAGACCACTTGTAAACAATAGTCAAGACAAGGTATCCAAAGATCGACTGGAAGAAGATGAATCCCGGAATGAAGTTACCGATAATATCAACCTTGGACTTGAAATGGCGCGCGTTGACGTATTGCAAGAAAAGAGCGTAAGTCATATGCGCCCAACCCAGCACAATACTCATCTTCATCTTCATACTGTTGGAGAACAGCAACGAATTCTCAGCCTCGTGCCAGTTCCAGTCCAATCCAATCGGGAACCGGTATCCATCCTTCAGGGTTGCCTCGACAGACTGACCCCGCTGGATGTCATCAGGCCACTGCCACTGACTGGGGAAGAAGGTGAACGCCTTGGAGAAGATATCGTTGTAAAGGAAACCGGTGTACATTGAGAACAGACCCATCATCAACATGATGTAACGACCATAGAAAGCCATGTAAGACAGTTCATCGAGCTTGGTCTTCAGCAACTTCTGCTCCCACAGAATCATAGCAGCTGCAGCAAGCGTCATCAACAAACCATGACCCAAGTCACCAAACATGACAGCAAACATAAACGGGAAGGTAACCACAGTATACAACGCAGGGTTGACTTCAGAGTACTTGGGGATACCATACGCGTTGACAATCGTCTGGAAACCCTCAGTAAACTTGTTCGTCCGCATGTAAGTCGGAGGAGTTTTGTTCGTCCGAATCTGGTTGATAATCGTCGGCACAGTAAGACCAGCACGATCATTGACATCCTGCAGAGTTGCCTTGATCAATCCCAGCGAGTTGGTAGGACACCACGCCTCAGCAATAAGCGTCTTCCTCGCCTGGTCGTAAGAGAACCGATTCAGCGTGTCATAAACAGCCTTCTCCTTCTTGACGATAATCATCCAAGCAGCCAACGACCGAGCAATCTGCCTCAACTCCGCATCAAGCGTGTTCTTCGTGTTCCGCAGCACATTCCCAACATCCCCCAACCGCGTGTTTACCTCGTGAATCTGATCCCTCCGCAATTCGCTATTCTCATCAACCCCATACAACGACGCACCCAACGACTCCGAAATCTTCCGGATCTTCGTAATAATATGCTTGCCATGCGCAAAGATCACAAACACATTCTTCCTCGTCTCTTCATTCGTAGTCGGATCAACAACCGGCTCCGGAATCTCCGACTGATTCATATAAAGGTTACCACGCAACGTCCGCCACAGAATCCTCTCAAACGCCCCAATCCGATCCCGCGGAATAACACCCGCCACAAACCCAATATTCATCTCCAGAAAGCTCTGCTGCTGCCCGGCATCACCATTAACACCGCGCTGCGGCTGCTGCTCCACATCTCGCAGCAACGGCGCCTCATCATTATCAAACGACTGACGAATATCCTCCGTATGGGTGTGCGCGCGGTCGAAGAATCCACCAGTCTCCCGGAGAACCCAGCGCCATTCGGACAGTTCGACTTCGCGTTTCTTCAGCGTCTCGTAGCTATCGTTCAAGGAGGCGATTCGCTGCTCGAGGCTCTCGCTTCGTTCGGCGAGTTCGTCAATCTCGGAGGCTAGAGGGGCGGCTAGGGTGTCGGAGAATTCGTTGGACGAGCGCATCGTGATATCGGCCTTTTCCATCTGGGTGTGGAAGTAGCCTACCCCAATCAATTAGCAAATCATCATATCAACCCCAAGAAATGAACATACGCAATTGCCTCTCAACATTATCCAACCGCCGAATCTCCTTCGTAAACGTGCGCTGGAACGCATTGGTCTCGGGGTTCAGCTAGTCCCGTTAGCTCAGTCCTCACATCACCAGATATCAAAAAAAGTCGTACATCACGAAACTGCACCTGTCCAAGCTCACCAAGCGCACTAACAACCTCTCTCCCAATCTCATTCGAGATATAGAGCTGCGTCAAGCTCATATCCGCCGAGCGGAAGAAGGTGTCCCTGGGAGCCATGGTGACGTTTCCGCTATCCACCACCAGTGTCTACCAGGACAGGACGGTATAAACGATAGCGCGGTAGGATGGAAATATCGATGGATGGTATGAATAGGCGTATATCGGTTGTTGGATAAGTTCGCCCAGCAACTCCCTGAGCTTCGAAGGCCGGCGGTTGGTCGGATGGAACGCCGCGTGGCCGTCTGCGACGGCACGTGATGTCACGTGGGCTTCAGCCACACTTTCTATGAAACTACAAGTTACAAGTACAACCCCAAGATAATCAAATGCAATAATGTATTTCAATGTTATGATTATATCGATTTACCAACATGAATTCCAGTGCAGCATAAAGTATTACAAAAAGCCTCACCATAGACCATCATGCGATTGAATCCACCAAACCAGGCCACATGCTCGACCAAAGAACATTATACACTAATAATGTGCCCCAAACATAAACTTGGGATGAATGCAAAAGACCAAAGACTCGCACAGATGATTAGATATATTAGCAACCTAGGCGAAGTAGCTCTTCCAGAGGACTCCGGAGAGGTCTTCCAGTTGATCCGGTGTGAATGCCTAGGCGTAGTTAGCACATGTTTAATCTAGATGGGTTCGAGGGGAGGGGAGCTACCTTCGCATCGATATGCCACGTATCCTGCCTCGTCTTCTTAAAGTCACTGATGATACTCTTGACACTCGATCCCACAATACCCGGGTCACTCGCCGCCCGGATACTCAGCGTAGTCAAAGCTTCGGGCATCCATTTTGGCGGCGGGCTGTTATACGGGAACGCCTGGATCAGCGCACCCAGTCCCAGTACTGCGCCATGACGGGCAATCACAAGCTTGGTATGTTCAGGTGTAGGCGTGCCCGCCCCCGAGGAGATAGCAGAGGCGGCTGGGCCAGAGCGACGGCGCTTGGGAACGGGGTTGTCGACAAGGATCTTACTGAAGCGCTCTAGGAGACGGGAGACCATGATGTCCCGGAGGGAGACGGGCGAGCAGCGGACCATGCCGGAGAGGGTGGCTGATGCGCCGACGCGGACTTCGTGCTGGGGGTCTTGGAGCATTTCGGCGATGCATCCGAAGAGCCGATCGCGGTCGTCGGAGGAGACGAGGAAGAGGCGGCGGAAGTAGATGATCTGGATGTTGATCATGACGCGCAGCCGCTGGTGCCATGATGGCGATGTTCGTCCGATTTGGATGAGCGAACTGATGAAGCCGGAGTTCTTCTCGGCGGGGTAAGGGATGTTGGGCAGGTGGCGGAAGACATGGTACGCCAGGGACTGGAGTTCAGGGTCTTCCTTGACGTCCATCATGTGCAGAAGCTGTCCTGTAAAGACGTCGGGGAAAAAGGGGACGAGCTGTGTGCATTCATGAGACGAAAGGGTCGAGTCCAGCCAGAGAAGCACGGTCTTGCAACCAGACGTGTAGGATGACGGCGTCTGTTGTCCAGGCGTTCTCTGGTGCCGCCACTGCTCAATCTGGCTGAAGATACCGCGCAGCATCTTGTGGAAGCCTTCATCAGGCAGGTACGGGAACGTGCCAACAGAAGACTCCTTCTCCTGCGATTCAAGGAGACGCTTAACGTTAGGATACGACTCGTGGTACCTAGTACGGTACACAGTCGCCAGCGTCTGTCCCATCGCCTCACGAACGCCCTTGTACGGGTGATCGAGATGAGCAAGGAAGTCTTCCACAATCGGCTTTTCCAACTGGAAGTGCCATCCTGCATCAATAATGCACTGGTGCAGCATATTGATCTTAGAACTCTCCTTGAACGCAGCATTCGTCGTCAAATCCAACCGGAAACTAGCCAGCCAGTCGACCAATGGCCACGCCCTGCGCGGATCCCGGCATTGCAGAATCATATGTAGGAACGTCGTCCAGTAGCCAGAGTTCTCGGGGGTCAAGCCCTCGGTGAAGATCTTCCGCACGATAGGGAATGCATATTCCCACACCTGCGTGCGCTTGTCGACGCCACCATCCGTGACCGAGCTAATCAAGGCACCAAGGATCTCCGAAGTAGCACGGTGCTGGTGCTTATCGCTACCATCCTCGAACACAGCCTCGATCTCCTCCTTGATATCCTCGAATGTAGCAGCGGTAAGGCCATCCCGAATCATCAATTCAAACGCATACAGCAACATCATGGCACAAGGCATACGGAACTTATCTGCCGAAGGATCCCGCGGCTCCTGCTTCAAGTACATGAAGAACTTCGAGAACCAGGCACGATCGAAGAGCTTGCCCATGTACGTTCGGACCTTCCACTCGGTCTCGTCGTATTCAATGTCGCGAGCAACATTCGACCTGTACGCGGGCATACTGTCCGACCACACGAGCCATCCGGGGAAATCGTGGTCGATGTAGTATTCCGCCTCTGGCTTGGCGAAACTGGCCAGGTACTCCTCGGTCCAGTTCTTTTCGTCACGCTTGGTGGCAACCTGGATCTTGGAGGGGAAGTTCTGGTGACCAAAGATGTAGTTCTGGTAGTCGTGGCTGCAAATAGCACGGACGTCGATCATCGTAAACAACGCAATGAGCGCCTGCGAGTACATACCGCGCAGGCCCGGATGGTCGTCGATCGAACCTTGCGTGACCAGTTCCACGAAGTTATCACTGGCAACATAGTCGAATCGAAGACCCATAGTAATGACGATAGTAGCCGCCCGGCTAGCAATCTTCCAGTGAGACACGCGTGCCAGGTTGACCAGCTCTTCTGACAAGCCGGCCTTCTTCTTCTCAATCGCCACACGCTTGCCGTTGATGTTCTTGCGCAGTTTATTGATGTCCTCGCTGACATCTCCCTTTGGAGCAATCGCTTCGACAATATCCTGATTCAAGACAGCCATCCGCTCCATGGCGCGGCCGTAGTCCATGATTTGGAACAAGGCACTCGAGCAGATTCTCTGCACGGATGGCTTATCGACTGCGCTAGCATCGATGAATGTCCGGATCAGAGTAGGCGCAAACTTCCAATGTCGCCCAGCGGTCTTCGCAACGCTGCTAAGGAGCAGGGAGAACAATGCACCCTTGATCCGTGCATGGTCATTCTCCTTGACACCCTTCTGCAAAGCTTCAATCAAAGGCGGGATAACAAGCAGTCGAGAGCCGAAGACGGCCTTGAGTGCCGACTCGCCAGCACTTTGAGCGTTGCGGCGAGTCTCCGTATACAAAGAAACGCAAGACTCGGCAATATCCAAAAGCAGAATTTCATCCAAGCGCGATCGCGGTCTGGGAGCAGCGTTGTGCCGCAGCCGTTGCAAGTGGTACACATATGATCTCCGTGCAAGCAACGGACGGGGGTAGTCCTTACGGATACCACTCATCTTGTAGGGATAAATGTCCGCCGCCAAAAGACGGGTGACCCTATCCAAAACATGGGCAGACCTCTCAATACCAACGTCCACAAACCAAGAACGGTAAGCCGAATATAGTGCTCCAAAACTGGGGACATCGTCCTCTTGCTTATCCGCCAGGAACCGGTGCACATCGTGCATGATCCAACCGGCGCGTTCCCGAAGGTCATGGATCTTGGTGTACAAGGGATCATCCTCCTGCAACGGATAGCCGGTGGGATAGGTGAAGGCCTCCCTGATAGTCGTATCATCAGAGCTATCCAGAGCGATGTCGGTGTCTTCATCGCCAGCGCCATTGGCCAACGACGCATCTTGAGCGTCTCCCATATCGACGTCACCGTCCGGCATCGCAGATCCATTCGCTGCACCCTGCTTCGTCGTCGATGCCGCCTTAGAGTCGAACAGCACCGAAATACCAGACAGGATAAGACGTAGCAGCACAAGGTTTCGGGTGACTTCATCCGACCAGTCTTTTCCGGTGCCATCGCGCTTGATGCTGGAAGTCTCGTTCGTCAACGCCGTAAGCTGCTTGAGAGCCGTCTCTGCTTGGTTTTGGAAGAGCTCAACAGCAAACTCAATCTCTTCACGCTTCGGGATATGCCACTTGACAGTCATGTCGTTGGGGTCTTGCTTATGACTCCAGAGGTCAGGGCCCACTCCTTGAGCAACGACGCTTGGCTCGTAGAGACCGTAGTCGATGGTATATGTACCAGTAAGGTTGAGGAGAAGGTGATGGATGAAGTTCGAGATGTGGACGGTTGGGATACCGCGACACTTTTGCTGCATGTAAACGGCAATGTCGAACAGCTCCTTCTTATGCGGCAGGACAGCATCTCCGACATGGACGATACACATGCTGAGCATGCTGATGTTCCAGACCAAGCCACGGTCACGAGGGAGGACATCGGCTCCTGTCGTCCTGGTCGAACCCGCACCGTTGTCATCAATCTCGCTTCGGATGGATTGGGTCAACAGGGGAATGAAGCGCTTGAGGGCCTTCTGCGGGTTGACTTTGCAAGCAGCATTACAGATGAAGGCCATTGCATCTCGAGCTTGATAAATGACGTGGTTTGCTGCGAAGTCAATAATCTTCGTCAAAGCAATGTCATAGTACTCAGGCTCGAGGGACGACAACAGCGGCATAAAGGTTGCCGGGAGAGTGTTCACGATATTCTCTTCGGGAGAGCCGTTTCGCACTCGAGACACATCGGGGAGGTTCTCCAAGAGCGTAAAAACACGACCCAAGAAGGATACGATGAAGTCCCCAAAGCCGCAGGTAGACGAGCGGAGAATCATCTCCTCCGTCTCGTCGTCCAATTCTGTGTCGTAGTTCAATTGGACCTCTACGCCTTGTTCTTCCATCCGCTCCATCTCCCCGGAAATCCACTGCATCGCCAGCATGTTACAGTTGACATCTTCCCTGCCTCGGGTTAGATCGGCCAGGGGGATGCTGTAACAGGCTGTCTGGATGAAGGTCAGGGCATGCAAAGACTTTTCAAGATCGTTCGCATCAACACCAGGCAACGCAAGGCCCAAGAGCGTTGTCATGTGGCAGCGGTATCCCTTGGTGCGAGTGATGATCCGCGACAGAACCTGGAGGGCCCGAAGCGAGGATGCTGTACGGTGCACCTCCACGAGACCCTGTAGAGATGGATAAATCCGCTGTATGGCACCTGGCAAGATAAGATGCGGCTCCAGGTAGGCCAAGCTCTGCAGCGTAGAGAGCGAGTAGCTCACTGCCGTGCCACTCTTGGAGTAGATACCCATGAAGATAACATCGCGCAAAGCAAGCACGAAACGGCGCTTCAATGGCTCATTGAGCCTACGCTCAGGTGGCATTTCCATCTCTCCACTCTGCTCCCGGTTCCAACGCATGACGAAGAAGTCCGCGAGATAGTACACCAACTGGGACAGGGTCTTAGACCAGCCACCAGAGTTCGAGGGGTGGAAGAATGTCTCCACTGCCTGGATGAGACCCTCGAGTTGGGACAGGATCGACTCCTCTGATTCGAGACAGGCTGGAGAGAGGGACATGACCACCCACCGGGCGATGTGATGCGCAACGGGATGTTTGCGAGAGTCACGGTCGAGCATGATACCTAGTCCGGAGGAAATGTCCACGAGAGCACTGTATGGAGAGGTCGACTGTCCGACTGGGATTTCCAGTAATCTCAGGATAGCCGTGAAGATCAGCGACGACTGCTCCTTGGTGAAAAGACCATACTCAGACAGCGGGACGTTATCCGCAGGCAGACAATCCCGAGCCAACCGAGAGTAGAAGTCCAAGAACGTCGTATCAAAGGTCCTCGACCGTCCTACCAGTGACCAGAGATGGAAATATGTTGGCAGGTAGTGGTGTGGCAGGAGATCTTCCCTGTCGGCCGGGGGCGGAGAGGTAGGAAGCATCAGGTTAATCAACCCCACCACCACGAAGGCGCCTTCTGAGAACGATGTTGTGTAGTGAGGCAGAAATTCATCTAGCATAGCTGGCACCTCGCATGGGTCGATATAGAGCTGGACGAACGCACAGAGCTTCGTCAGGGTCCTGACGTTCCGCTTCAGATTGGTCGAATGGACCAGACCTGATTCGGTGGGCAGGACGAAAGCCTTCAATTCCTTGTACAAAGGCTTCCAATCTAAAACCAGGTCCTTAACTGGTTTCAAATAGTGCTTCCGTCTGTATCCATCATTAGCACCCTGCCATGCCATATCAAATACCATGTAATCACTCACTTCGTCAAAAACATAAACATGCTAGCAAACCGCTCCGCAACATTCGGATCAATCCCCGGCGCCAACGAAAGCTCATAGTACAATTTCACCAAATTAATCCTCTCCGTCCGAGCCGGATCAAACTTCAGCGACAACCATGCTCTAAGCTCCCGGGTCCAGTGGACAGCGCCGGGACTGAAATCCCCCGCCTCCACCGCAATGTAGAGATGGTCCAGGATCTCGCGGAGGTTGCGTTCCCGCGCGGGCTCATCTTCGGTTGTGTATGGAAGGTATTTGAAGTAAGGGTAGGTACGAGGACGGACTCGCGCTTTGGGTTCGCCTTTGCCGTTTAACACCGCTGGTTGCTCAGCGGAGGTGGCTCGTGGCATGTTGTGGAAGTTCTCGGCGGTCGGTATTGCTTTGGGGTCTGAGTTGGCCATGGTTCATGGGGTCGAGGGAGAATGGGGTTAGGGGGTCGTAGCGAGGGGGAGGGGGGTGTGTCGTGGAGGGTTCTCGAGGAGGGCACTGTGGTGGTGAAGATTGTCAGCGAACTGCAACAACCAGGCCTGTTCAACATCGGGCCAGCACTGCAGTTGAGGAATCCACTTACAGCAAGCATGGAAGAGGCTCAAGTGATAGGAAGTATCCCGATTAGATATGAGGCCAGGCAGTTGAATACTACCAGGCTGTGCATGGGCAAATCTGGAGTGTTTTTTGATTCCGGATAGCTCAGCCAGCCGATAAGAGCTTTTTGAAGAACAACGATTTCAAGCACAGAATAGTCGTGTAGTCGCCGGTCAGTATTTCGCGTCAATAATTGTTGAACATGAGCCACGACTCTTTCTGATGACTCCTTAATCCAATATTTGCAGGGACACGCAGTTGTCTGGGGTGAACTCGGGCGTCGTGGTTCAGATGGCTGATGACATAATTTTACCGTAACGGCGGCAGCGTCAGGCAGTGGGCGGAACCACGTTTGAAGTACGGAGTATGCTCAAGCTGTGAGGAGTTGGGACAGGGATTGTATTGATGGCAAAAGCTCATTAGAAATTAGTTCTAATAGATAATAATTATATACTGACAGGTGTCTTTCTTTGGTTTTCATTCCCCCCAGGCCGATGTACACGCGACACAATAAACAATTGTACAAAGAAGGAAATAATGACATGGCATTAGTATATAGAGCCTCAAACTATTTCCCAGCCATTACTAAGCTGGAGGAAGAAAAGAACCGTAAAGAACCGCCTGTATAAACCCATAGATCACCATAGCTTGCAACACCATGGCAAATAGGCGATTAGACTTGGCGGCGGACGGTGACCCTCCTGCGCGATCCACGACCAGGCATACTAAGTACCAATACCACAGTGGATAGCCGGAAGAGATACGGTTGATAATCTGAACATGGTAGCTTGTAAAAGCCATCACTGCAAGGAGGCCCTGGGGAACTGCAAGGCGGACCAATAACGAATCGGTGGCCTCAGGAGACATTGTTCGATCAAGTACGGTCGTTGGCCGTTCCTTGACAGCGGCCCAAGGCATCTTCAATGCCCACAGTGAGGCATAGCAAAGCAGTACAAGCATAGGCGCAGCGAGTAGGAAAAGAGGGATATTAGATACGGTCCAGTACCGGAGGAATCCCACGTTCCTGTCGATACGAATTAATGCGCTGTTCCCCGCTATAAGCCATGGAGGGGCACTTACCAATATTGTTCCTGCACCCAGCCGTATATACTGGGTAACGTCCATTGACACCATGGCCTGCTACTGGTTGTACAGTATGTCGTATAGGCAACCCACTGGGGCAGGATTATCCCCAATGCCACAACACAGCCACCCACAACAATGACACCCAGACGCATGACTACATCCCAAGACAAGCCGTGGAGGAGTATCCTCCGAAGTTGCCAGATCGCATCATAGGCAAACAAGAACCCACTTAGGATGCCATTGCTACGGACGGTGGTCGCGACTGCGAAGGATACGGCGGCACCAAGCAGCTTGGCATCCCGAGGTAATCTCCTCCCCGCGCCATCGTCCAGGAACGATGACGAGTAGAGGTACAGGCCAAAGATGTTAAGAAACGAGAAAATAGGTTCTGGGTAAGGCGCAGACAGAAACGCCCCGGCCGGGGCGATGATATGCAGAGCCGCTGACAGGAAGCAGACGAGCCTCTGCGTCGGGGTCTCGCGACCAAAAACGTTGGCCGAAAGTTTATAGAGGGCTAGGACGGATAAATAATGGGCCAAGTGGGCGAGCCCGACGCCCACCCAGGCTACCTGGGCGACATTGCCGACTTCCGCGGAAGGATTGAGAACTAAGCCTAGGTTTAGCGATTGGTCCTTTTACATAAAAGATGAGACATACAGGAAGCAACAAATCTCCAGATCCTGGTAAAGCCATAGCCAAAAGCCCATTCCTGCTCATAGACGTAGCCATGCTGGACAATGTGGACAAAGTAAATGGGGTCCCATCGAACGAACTTGAGGGGAAGCGTGGAGCCGACACCGGCATCCGCGGCGGGACGCGTTGGGGACGGATTCAAATAGGGCAACAGAGAGGTGGACGTATCATAGCCAGGGCCAGGACAAGCGATGACGACGAGAAAAAGGAGCGATTTCCACAGGACAAACGCGACCGTCAGACTCCAGAGCGGCCGAAGGGGATTGAGCAATGAAGGCCGGTCGACCTGCTTAACAGAGGACATGATCATAAGTTAAAGTGGTGAGGCAATGGATCAGCGCTCCCGACTATGTCAGCGCAAGTATTCTCCATCATGTGATGTCTGGATGGGGTAAGTATGCCAAGTGGTCAGATTCCTCGGCATTGGATGCATAGTTAGCTGCATAACTGGATTAGTGTTAATCAGCATAGCGGCGATGCCAAGGCGTGGCGAACGTTTCATTAGTGATACGAAGTGGTAATTCATCATATGTACGGGGTAGTGAAACAACGTAGGATAGCTGTACGAAGTACGAAGTACGAAGGAATGTCTATGTGCATACTACTGTACAAGTAAGATGTACTGTTGGCATCGTATTCGTATTGACTGATGAACAACAGATCCTCGGTCGGACTCAGCCCTACGGAACACTGACCGCGAGGATCCCGACTGTCCAATGGCGGAGGACACAGCTCTATACGGGAAATTACTCAGTTATGAATCAGTTATGAATCAGTTCAGCTGTCCCGAGTACTAGTAAAACTCTGTAATTTCAGCTGATACACTTTGTGCCTCGTCTCTGGTCTCCGTATCTCCGGACGGGGACCTGTCAGACCGAGCACGGATATGTACTTGTACTCCGTAATTGTAAGTCGGCGATCTCTCTTCCACTGCTCTATAGTACTAGTTAGTTATGTATCATCATGGAGCGTTGAATAATCCGGGCTCCTAGTGCTCGGCAGTCGGAGTATAGCAAGCCCGCCACGGCACTGGAACCCTCCGCCGGCGTTTTCGGACCTCCCGGCGACCGGGGGCCAAGACCAGGTGACCCACGGGGCTGAAAGAATATATGATGGTGCCTGTTGCTTACTCAGGTGTCCATTGTATCATTATTGAACTGTAAAAGAAACAGGTTTTAATCGGACAATTGCACTGTAGAATTTTTATATCATTTCAATGTTATATTCCAGGGAAATCCGGTAAAAAAAAAAAAAAAAAGGAAGAATACGGTGAGGGTGAAATTGTGAAATTAAATAGTGCCGGACATAAAACTAGCCTTGCCGATCTCCAGTCGGTCTGCGTTTCCACGGATCGGCTTCCATGTGTGAAAATGCGATGAAGATTTAGCATCGAACTTTCCATTCATTTACATATTAGTACATAGTCTATGGAGAATCATCACTGACGGATCCTATCCTCGGATACCGCCTGTGACGGGGGGCCGGTTTCCGTATATCATCTCTGTTACTCCTCTCGTTCTTTTTCTTTTTCTTTTTGCCCTCCTGCAATCTGCTTATTCCTTGCATTTCAGTCAGTCAGAAACCTGATCTTCCCCTCTCCTCCACTATCTCAGGAGTCGCTCTCTTTGTCTCTATTCTCTTTATCCTCTGTCATTCCTTTCCTCATCTCTATCTCAATCCCTCCAGTCGTCACTGCGACCTGGCTCCAGTGAGGACCATCCACGAAATACGACAACCAACCACCAACTGGTTTATCGATGCGCCTGTGGCATCCCCTCTGTGGTCGTCAGATTCCCAGGAATGCTGTTTAATCTCGGATTGACTGCTGACGCCGCCGCTGCCCACGAGAGCGATCTAGTCGGCCCCCAACCCTCTTCGCAACTCTCCAATCCCCCCACCAGAGCCTCCTCGCCATTGACTGCTCTGTCCTCCTTACCGAGCTTAGGGACCATCTACAATAAATACAAGGGCATGGAACCACAGGCAACGCAGGGTTCCAGCCTGCGCGATATGACACGGAGTCCTGTCGAATCCGTCCTGTCCAGCGACGGAGAGCATTCCGTCGTCGATACTGGCTTTCGCGCATCTCGTGTCGGCCGCTCGCAATCCGTCAGAAAGTCATTACGACCAAAAACGTCCTACCAATTGGCTCACCCCGCCAGCCATGCCCATAATCGATGCTTCAAAATCCGCCCCAAGCTCCTGTTGCAGCTCCAGCAGGTGTCTCTCACTCCGCGTCCGCTTCCTGTCCTCGACGTCCTCCCCTCGACCATCTTCCTAACCCGACTCGCGCGCAAATTCCCCACAATCTTTCGCGGCAAGAATGGTCTTGGTCCCAATGACCTGATCATCGTGACCAGCGACTTGTATGAGGCGGATCCAAGAGATAGGACGTCGCAGGGCGACGACAGCGATGACGATGAACAACAGGTGGTTGCAACCATTTGCCAGCTGCTTAATGAGGAGGACTTGTCCAAAGGGAAAGCGGAAATATGCTTCAACCATGGTCCTGCATGGGAAGCAACACCCCTCCCCAACGGTGCCTACGAGTTCGTTGCCCGCACGGCCCAGGGTGTCCAAACGCTACGGTGGGTTCCGCGTGGATCGAAGAACCGTCGCGTATCCGGTCCCCCGGGTTCGCCAGTCCAGCCGGAATCCAAGCGATTCACCTTCAGCGTCATCAACCCCAACACTCGCCGCCATCCAGTGCTCGCTAGCATGACTCGCAACAACCTCGAGGTCTTTGACCAATATTCGATGCCCACCGCTGCTCCCAATAGTCTTCCCACATCCGCCATGTCCATGATCAGCGACGGTTCCGACGACACTCCACTAGATCGCAACGTGATCGCTGTGGATGATGATCTACGCCTCCTGATCATCATCACCAGTATCTGGGTCGCTTTTCGAGAGGGTTGGTCGCACAACTTCAGCTACAACGATTCTGCCTTGGTGTTGAACTCGAAGATCTCCTCGCCTGCTGCGTCCAGACATGCTTCACCAACTACCATCAAGCATACCCCTGATTACTTTTCGGTCGACAAGGAAGGTCCAATGGAAAACCCGCCACGGAAACACCGCGTGTCTATGTCCAATGTTCCATTGCCATCGGAGCGCCTCAAGTCGTTGGCCTCTGCCAGGTTGGCGAAACGTTCCAACTCCACGGGTGCCGCCTTCATTGAACGATCCAACCGACGAAGCTCGGGTAGCAAGCGACCTCAACGACACAGCTTCTTGCCCCCGAACGACCTCTCTCGCAACGGGGTCACTGGCCTAGAGGCAATTCCATCGGAAAGCCTTATGAACGGTAATGGGCATGTCCAAAACGGGGAATCTGGGAGTACGGTCAAATTTACCAACCCTCAGCCTACATCGGAGAAACCTCGTCGCAAAGCCAGCCAACGCGTGCCGCAAACCGAACCCACAACCTCCAGGGGACTCGATGGACAAACCTCAGAGTCTAGTCCTCCCGCCCCCAAGTCGAAGCGTCGACACTGCATCAGGGGGTTTTTCCACTGCATCTTCCGACGACACCATTGAAAAACCATCAACACAAGCCTGGTGCTTGTGTCGCAACTCCTTCTCTACTCTCTTCTATTCTCATCTCCTTTCCATTTACAACTCCCTCTTGCAGAGGTCGAGACCAGAAAGATACCAAAAAGTCGCATCTGGCGTTTCACGGCGCATTTCCATATTTGAGCGAGTTGATATCCATTTTTTGCACATAGCGTATATCCCATGATTCATGATTACTCTGCTCTTTTCTTTTTCCTATCTCTACTTCTGCTTTTGCAGTGATTTACGCAGAACATGTATGCGTATGTACCAAGTATGACTTGAGTTGATTGATTGGCATTGCAGCATGTACAAGCAAATGTATGTATATAGTTCGCATATGTATCTGTGATGTTAAATGTAATTGCATAAACTGTTCATCCATTCCTTTCCTCATCTTGTCAGAGGTATACCCTCTTTCATCTGTAGAAGCCCAGCATTGGGGATGCGGAAGGCAGGACTCCCATTTAGCCAGCCGTACGTGATCGTGGTACACAACTTTCTTTTTCTGGTCTCGATATGCCAATTACTAGTAAAGTTGGCAACTTCTGCAATGATCCAGTCCACGCCGTCGTGTCTACCATAAGGTAGTGGTTTGCTGAAACTAGCCCCTCATCTTTTCTTCATACCATTTGGTTAATCTTGTCTGGATAGAGGCTCGCAACTGGGTTTTCTGTGCCCCGGGCACCTGCAGGTTCGACTTAGTCGTCCTTTAACAGTTATTGGCGAGGTCTCATGTGGCGAGTGTGAAAGACGTACCCTATAGGGAGTTTGGAATGCAGGTGGCTGAAAATGAGTGCTCTGAGAGAGCGCGTTATATCGAAGAATGAACTCTGCCATTTCTGAGTTGAGTTCAGAAACATATGGATTGCAAAAGATGGGTAGGAGCCTGCCATCTGATACCATTCCGTAGGCAGTGAGATGACTTTGCAGTAGATGCGACCTGGTCTATCTGCCATTGAAATCCCACAGGATACTGGCGCATTGCGAATCACATACGTATTGCTTTGTTGTTGTGTTCATGGCCACCTTCATGGATAGCCATGTCACAGGCCAGGTATTGACTAGCTGACGAGTTGCTGGTTGAGATTCGTATATCGCAAATATCTCTTGCCGGATCACTTTTTATATGCGTTTGGAGGTTTCTTGTCGTTTTGTGTGGTTGTTGATTGCGTCACGCTGAGCAAGTCAAGAGAGGCAAGTTAACGTCTCCGTTATGGAGTGCGGTGTTGCTTTGGCTTAGTATTTGATCTGTTATCGTATAAGCACTTACCATTCGAACAATATTAGCATCAGGTTAGTCAAGCAAGAGGGGAAATGGAGAAAAGACGACCTCGCCTTTTCGTCCACTGTATACTTCACTTCAACACACGTGGCGCACGACGGAATCCCTGTATTATCACAGCTCAGCGCTGTGCGCTTTGGTGAATTCATCATGTTTTATGACGGACCAGTATAGCGTATAAGTATCGTTTGATCTGCTTCACGGTCATCGTTGTCATATAGCGGCTGGAGGACGCACTAAATGAAGCGGGGCATCTTCCCATACTGCTTCGGGCGAGAGGCCTTTGACAACGCAAGAATTCAGTATTTCTGAATTCCACACTTCTGTCCTGAACATGCGGTACAATCAACCGAGGTTGGATGGGTAGAAAGATGAAATGGATCTGGTATCCATTGACTCGGAGAGCTTATGCCTTGAAATTCAAATATTGATTGATAGTGAGGGCTGAGGTGGAGGTTGGTATGTATTTTCTTTCTCCTTTCTTGGCTTCAGGGTTTGTTCTGGCT